GGGGACTGGATTGGAAGTGAGTTCAAACATTCAAAGTTTGCAAAAATACAAGAAACTACTATTGGTGCTCCTTGACTGGAATTTTGGGAAATAATCCTATAATCCTATAAACCTTGGTTGTGTTGTGTCCTGCCACCATGTTTACCACAGTCAGTCTAGCTCATACTGAAGCATCAGTTCATCCTCTATTCAGTTGTTTTAACCTAATTAGTGTGGGTGGCAAGACTACAATGCCATGCCCACTGTAATAAAAGTTTATCTATTGTCTTTACACATGGATGACTCACCTATCTCACCTGTTTAGCCTTTTCCTTGATTTATTTTAATCATCTCTATTATCTCATTGTCTTTGATATCATCAATATTTTAATAACAGTTCAATAATCACAATATCAATAGGAATGATAACAATGTCAATATTAATAGTATTAGAAAGAAAAACACATTTTCCCACCAATTCAAGGATTGGGGAAATCAGGCTGCATCACCCATAATACATATCAAATAGTTATGTGCTGTATCTTAACCAATTTGCCTCAGTTTATGTACTGCCCATTGTTGTGAATTTTGTTGCACACAGATAGCTCTGCAAGAGCTCCTCCATCAAGGGGTCAATTTGTTAGCCCTAGGGTCCACACCTGATTTTTCCATTCCCTGAATTCTGGTAAAATGTGTTTTCTAATGCTATTAATATTGATATTGTAATTATTAGCATTGACATTATCCTAATTATAATGCTATTATAATACTACTAATAATATGAATAATAAACTACATAAGAAAAATTATGGAAAAGGATAAGTAAGTGTGATAAGTAGGCCTAATAATTGATTTCCTGGTGACTAAACACTTGTGGAGTCATTTCTGTGTAAATGCAATTAATAAGCTAAAGTTACAGTGGATAGAGCATTTATGTTTATTACCCAAAGCTATTGAGTTAAGATTTCAGATAACGTGCAATTAATAATGTGTACCTATTACAGACACTAAATAGGATAGAACTTTTGCATATTCACCTAACAATTAAGCAATCAATGTGGTCTAAATATATTTTGAAGTGTTTGGGCCTCAGTCTCTGTCTCCTAAGCCCTCCCAACAACAACGAGCAAAGGAATGGGGGTGGGTGGTATGCCATCAAAAGAAACTTTAAAATCTATGAAGTATAATATTCTTATCTTAACAAAAAATAAGGTGAAATGAGTATGTAACAATTGGTCTGGCTAGATATACTGACTGCTTGATGAATATGATGGAGCTCATGTCTAAAAGTTTCAGCTATGGTGGTAGATCATATTGACTTAATAATAAGCAGTTGTGCATTTGTTTGCCCCTGGCAGATTTCAATGAAGAGAAATAACTCCTAAAAAGTAAGCTTAAAGGCTCAACTGAGTAACCTTACTTAACCCATTCGCCACATTTGGCAAGAATAGATGCCATACCCACTTTGAGACACGTTTATTTATTGTATTTACAAATAGATGGCTCCACAAGTTCTTAATCACCAAACAGCCAGTTATCAAGAACTACCTATTTCACCTGTTTACCCTTTTCCTTCACTTTTGGAAAGTTTTTTTTTGTATCATTTCATTGTCTAAAATGTTCTAGTGACAATTTGGTAATCATAAAATCAATAACAATAATAACAGTATCAATAGCAATGGTATTATTTTCCCGCCAATGCAATGAATGGGAAAATCAGGGTCGGTAACTAGGGCATACTGATAGACTCCTTGCCGGCTGAGTACATGTGGAGCCATCTGTATGTAACATAATTCACTAAATACTACAGGGGACAGAACATAAATCTGTGGCGAATGGGTTAAACAATTGTTTATGTCACAGCCAAAAGCACAGAGGGCAGAGTAATTTTCCGTTTCTCATGCTTCTGATATTCCTTTGAAGAGGTGATTCCACATGCACCCTGATGCATTGTTTGTTATGGCACTGGGGGCTCCTATTGTTAACCTGTGGGATCTAGGAGAAAGTGGAATCTTGTCATGAAAAAATCTGGTTGTGTGGTGGGTGATGAGAATGTGAAAAATTTGGCTGAGTGCTGGGGTGAAGGGCATGAGTTTTGTGATTGCACAAAGAGATTAGTTTCAGTAGGCCTTAGAGAAGGAGCTCTTGCATTATTTCCACTGGTATACATGGGTAGAATGTACCATCTGTGGGCCAGGCCTGGGAGGAGTATTTCCTTGTATAGGAACCTACTCCTGCCTGCCTTGTCTATTATCATTGGATTTAGGGAAAATTGATTAATAATGATGATAATGATATTTAAAAAAAAATAGGCTGTAGACTACCTTGGTAGATAATATTGAGTCCTCTTAACAAAAACAGTCTGTTACAATCTTGACACAAATGACAAATATACACCAGGGAGAGTCGCCATGCAAGTAAGCTTAACCCATTCGCCCCGGAATTATGTTCTGTCCTCTGTAGTTTTTGATGAATTTTGTTACATACAGATGGCTCCACATGTACTCAGCAGGCAAGGAGTCTATCAGTAGGCCCTAGTTACCGACCCTGATTCTCCCATTCATTAAATTGGCGGGATAAATAATACCATTGCTATCGATACTCTTATTATTGTTATTGACGTTATGATTATTAAATTGTCATTAGAATATTTTAGACAATGAAATGATACAAAAAAAAAAAACTTTTCCTAAAGAGAAGGAAAAGGGTAAACAGGTGAATTAGGTAGTTCTTGATAACTGGCTATTTGGTGATTAAGAACTTGTGGAGCCATCTATGTGTAAATACAATAAATAAATATGTCTCAAAGTGGGTATGGCATCTAATCTTGCCACATGTGGTGAATGGGTTAATGTCTGGATCTTAGTACATGATGCACCCGGATCCAACAGGTTACTGTGGGAAGTGAATGACATAATCTATCACTCAGTTCCTACTGCCCCCATTGGCTACAACTGTAGTTTGTGTCTTCTGTTTTTACTTAGTCTTATCCACCACAATCATGACATCATTTTGCATGAGCTGTTACATCTTGGTGGGCTATTTTAGTGTCTCTTTTTCTGTATAAGATGCATATTGAGTCAACTAAGATATTTGGTATTGTTGTCAAGTTTCCTCTGGTGTCACCTACCATGTGGTCACTGTATGGCATAGCACATCTGGTCTATTCCTGATCTTTTCTCCTCCACATCATGTATTGTGCAGTCACCTTCTCCCAGCGTAGTGTCTTCTTAAGACTTGTACATATAAATGATGGTTCATATATTTTACTGCTCTATATGACTCTTATTTACAAGCCTTTCTCAATTTCATTTTTATACAAGTGGTACTAGCAGCAACATTTTTAAACTTTGAAGCTTTAGTGTGCACACAAAACATAAATCACAAAAATTGGGACTTAAATATAAGGGGGGAGGGGGAGGATATGCAATTCCTAAGGGTTGTACATGCTAGTACTAATCAGTACCCACAATATGTTTTATTACATGTAAAAAAAAAAAAAAAACAGTACAAACTGTAGCAAACATAAATACCTGAAAATCCAAAGGCTTTTCACCTTTGCCAACAGCATTGTTAACTGTTGATAAATTCTTTCTGGCCTGTTCATGCATCTCTTGTATGGGCAGAACTTGACGGGCTTTTTCTTGCAATGCTGGGCTCTCATAAATAAGTACCCTCTCAAACTCATGCGCTAGTTGGGATTTGAAAGCCGACTCCATTTCCTAAGTTTGTAAAGAAGAAAGAATAAAAATATTGCATAACTTAATCCCTTACTGATGGGGCACACCTACCGGTGTCATTACAAACTGCCCGGTCTGTGGGATATGGCTGTGTGCCATGGTGACGGGCCAGAGCGCTTGGAGCGGGATGTTCGGCTTGATGTAGCGGACTCCCACTCCCAAAGCCTGCTTGTTGCCATTAATCTCCAGTGAAGAATTTTTATTTATTTTCTTCACCTGTCAGTGCTGAGTTATCAAAATACTGGCAATGAACAGGTAATGCATTTTTATCTTTTACTAAACTTCTTGTGTTAACCTGACAAGAATGTATGTATGCATGTATGTACAGTTCCCCACATTTCCATCTAGTACTGGAACACCATGAGTCTGGAGGCAGTAATTTCTATCTGGCAATATCTGTGTAGTATGTAGTACTCTATTGAAACACATGAATATCGACCTGGGATATGCTTAAGAAAAAGTCCTGCACACTCTCTCTGACGTGTCGGGAATTTTTTTTTCTAATTTTCTATGCAATGTTTGAAATCATGTTAAGGAGATTACTCTTTGTGACATGACAGTGCATTCTGGACCTCTTAAAAGTTGTCAGCATAAGCAATTTATTAAGTAATTGGGTAATTTGTCATTCATAAATTCCATGAGGAAGCCACACATAATCAGGTGAGACAACTTTACAAGCCTCTGGGCTAGTACAATGGTAACATGTTGGCTTCTCATCCTAACGGTCAGTGGTTCACGCCCTGCCCAGGCGCGAGAAGTTGCAATTGTCGCCTGGAGGTTACTGCTGTCGCTGGGCACCATGGCGGGTAAGGACAAAGCTGAGTCAGCACTAGCTGACACATGTTAGCGAGTCGGCATTAGTTGACACAGGCCAGGCTTTGCATATCTGACTTATCCTTATAACTTTGCTATTTACATTTAGACCAAATAATATTTGATTCATATTTTAGCTTCTCTAAGTAATATGTTTTACATTGATAGATGCAACGGAAATTCTGATTTATGTATTTATAAACACATTTTTTGTCAACAACTGATTTGAGATTAATGCTGTCAACATTTGACTATTGTGATTATGCTGAAGTTGGCAATTACACCATTTCCAATTGCCCCTTTTTAAAGAAACAACATATTTCAAGCAATAACATTTAGACTGGGAAAAACCATATAATGTTTCCAAACTTTTTAATGTAATTTTAATGGGTGATATTAGTTGTCATTAGAATATTTGTGAGATACTGTAAAACAATCACAGGCTTCTCAGTCTCCACACCATAGGGGTGTACTAGTTAGAACTGTGGGGAACTGTACGTGCCATGCCCACTGTGAGTTTAAGTTATTAATTGTTTTACACATAGATGGCTCTACAAGTATTAAGTCAACAATGAGACAATTATGAGTATTGTACTATCTGTACAGTACTTGTAATTACTTTCCCACAAACTCAAAGAAAGGTGAAATCAGGTGAGGTCACACGATTCTACTCACTGACTCCTTGGTGGCTAAGTACTTGCATAGCTATCTAGGTGCAGAGAAATTTCACAAAACAGTAACTTCCTGAAGATGTTGGGTTAATTTGGTTTGAAAATGAATTCTAATTTTAACCCCTTGGTGCCGGGTGACGCCGATCGGCGTGTAAACAAAGCGCTCAAAAGCTGGCGTGCAGCCAAACGAGCCGGCGGCGCGCCAAAGCGCGGCGAGCCAGTGATTCGGGCTGATGTCCCCTACTCACGCGCTCAAAGTCGGCACGCCGCCTTTGTTTGTTTAAGCGTAGAGTTTTTTTTTTGTTTTGTACACCCGGCGCCATTGGGTTATTACAATCTATTCAACTGTCTTAGTAAATTTAAAAAGCCGAAAAAAATCTTC